GCATATCTTGTCGATACAACCAATATGGTAATGCATCTCATGTCGAAACAACCAATATGGTAACGCATCCTTTGTCCCATAAGTACGGTTGGCTACGTACGGTTCAGGTAACAAGCCTCAGTATGACACGAGACACCGGGTTCAATTGCTCACATATCTCAAATCACAAAAATGCCACCCTACCGTGTTCACAATATCAAACAGCTAGCCAAATATATCTCAATTATATCATTAGACTTCCTTTTCCAGTACCAAAATATAATAATAGGGATTTTCCCCTTTTTTCTGGCAACAAAACTGAAACCTTTTTACAAGGAATCACGTGTGCATTCACCACAATACTTGTGGTCAAAATGCAAACAGAAAACACACTCTGATAATATGATGCATTGTCCTTGAAACTGATTGGTCCACACCAAGGGAGGGCTTTCTTTTGAGCCTCAACCCAATTGGTGCTCGACCAGATGACGCCAAAAGGCGTACAGCTCAAAGACAATGCACTATCAAAGTAATGAGGGCTCGGGGTGAGCATCTACATCATTAGACCTCCTTTGCCAGTACCAGAATATAATAATAGGGGTTTTCCCCTTTTTTCTGGCAACAAAACTGAAACCTTTTAACAAGGAATCATGTGTGCATTCACCACAATACTTGTGGTCAAAATGCAAACAAAAGACACACTCTGATAATATATGTATTGTCCTTGAAACTTGTAGAAAGGTTTAAGTTTTGTTGCCAGAAAAAAGGGGAAAACCCTATTATTATATCTCAATTAATGAGACATCATCCTTGATGCACACTTTCATAAAGTAACGTCTAAGTTACTGTAACTCTCTACTTTTTGGGTTTGCCACAAACACAGCTCGACTCATCGTCAAACTTCAGAGATCATCTCACATCACACAGACTTTAATAACAACCAACACTGGTTCACTATCAAGTACAGAATAGATGTCATACTCATCTTGCTAAAATATAAAGCTTCATAAAAACCAAGTTCCACGGTACATCATCACAGACCACTCCATCAGCCACCAACAACCAACCGTACAACCAGGGGAGATGTTACTTTATCAACGCATTTAAATTATTATTTTCTTCATTCGCAGCACTACACCTATAGAAAACCTCACCGAGACAATAATACGCTCAGCCACCTACATCACTGCATTCACATTAACAACTAAACATACAATCCCTAGACGCTCACCAACAACCATTAACGTACACCCACATCTCTCAATGCCAAGACAGTAGTGGCGTGGATGGTGGTGGGGAAATATTTTTAGAACTTAAGATGTGTTTTGTGCTTTTTAATTTGATTAAAAAACGGATTTTATACTTTCTCGTTATGTGTTTTCTGTAATCCATGTGTGTTGAATATAACGGTGCCTTGCATGGCAAATCTATGCCAGAAAAACAACGCAAAGTAATTTAACGTAAAATTGACTTTAACTATGTTGTTGTATGTATCACGGTGTGTTTTGTCACATACATGTGGCACTCACGTTGCCCGTGCACATTAGAAAGGTTCGACAAAAACAGAAAGCTGTCACAATTAGAAAGATGCCACAGAGAGAAAGGTGCCACAGTTAGAAAGGTGCCGCAAAGTAATTCAACGTAAAATTGACTTTGACCATGTTGTTGTTGTGTCACGGTGTGTTTGGTCACCTCAATGTGGCACTGGCGTTGCCCGTGCACATTAGAAATTTATCCTCCATGGTATTCATGCTGAAGAACTACAACCGCCCCCCATCCCCCCTCCCCATCCCCCCTCCCCTGCCCCCCACCCCGCCATATAGCCGGGGTGAAAATGCCCCCCCATGGATTGAGAATGCGGCTTTAGGGTATATTAAAGTTCATTGGCACAGAATGCCACGCAAAGTAGGAGGGCTGAAAACACGAGCTCTGGGGGCCCAGGGGAAAAGAAGCAAACACATTTTTAAAGAAGTTTGCAGTGAGAGGGATTAGACGTTAAGGTCGCAGCCAGGGTGGCCACAAGAGATGTCCGGCCATGCGTGACCAAACGAAACGGGAGCCCCTTCAATGGAAGTGGCCGAGTGGGTGGGATCGGAGACCCCCACGGCCCAGCGAGTGGAGGACCCTGCCCAGCCCTGACATCGAGCCCAATTCTCCTGCACAAACAATGCCCACGGCTCCTCTCCAGGAAATGAGCCACCCTCACGCCAGCGGTTCCCAACGATTCTGGACCCGTGGGCAGCTGTCCAACCCTCCAATGTATTCCTCGGACCACCTTGCACTCATAACATATTTACAAAATCCTAGTATCTGCAACAGTGGGCGGCAGGGTGGCTTCACAGTGGTGACACGTGTGCCTCGCTACAAGAAGAACGACGGTTCGATTCCCCACTCGGGCGCCTATCCGTGTGGAGTCTGTTCTCCCCCTGTTCTGCGTGGGTTTACGCCATGCGCTTCGGTTTCCTCCCATTTGCTAAACGAAACACACAACGTGACTGGTATTGGCCAAACGTCCCAATGCTGACCAAAAAAAAATGTCCTGCAAATCGCTCAACTGGGATCACACACAGCGGCAACATCGCCTGCCTCCTGAAAAGCTTGTGGCAGGACCCTCCTGCAAAATAATCCTGGCACTCTTTGAGGCTTTTATGGACAGAGCAAGCGTACGGTAATCATGACCAGCTCCGCGCAGCGCCTCTCGCTCCCTATTGATCACGGCCAACAAATTAAAAAAAAACCCCGCTGTTCATCGTTGGAACCCAAGGAAAACCGCAATCCGCCACCAGCGCGCACAATGAATCTCCACGCGAGCACGTGGCCGCAGAACCCCCGGACAGGGCGACACTGCAGCAGTGGAGTGAGTGCCCTGCCCATCGCGAGGCGCATTCAGAACTCCGTGCCGCGCGAAGAAAGAGCCACAGAGTTGGCGGTGCGCAGTGGAGGACTCAAGCGGCTTGTGGAGAGGAGGGGGTGGGATCAGGCCCGGGTGTTGCATTACCATAGGAACAGGCCTCTCAAGCCCCCCCCCCCCCCCGAGCAAGCTGAAGTACAGTGCATACCTGGAGGAAAGGCACGCACAGGCCTAGAGTGCTCTGCATCGTCGGTTGCACACATACAGTGGCTGCATTGTTTCCAGATATTACCTCCGCACTTGTGTGTAAGGATGTCCTTGAATCTGATGAGGATGCCATTGCCATGGTGTTTCACCCGCTCAAACGCGTTCCAAACATTGTGGTAATTCCCAATCGCACCGTTATTACGTTTCAGTTCCATTTATTTGGTATAGCCCTGTGAGCCATTCGGCTCTTGAATCGGGTGCAACCGCAACAAACAAACAAAAACAAAAAAACATGAACACGATTACAGCGTCATGAATACGATTAACGGGAGAGACTGTCAGTGGCGCGGTTCGCATTGCACTGGAAGGCAGACGCGGGCGCGCTTTTGTCCGGGTGGGCTGTGAGCTCGGGGTGAGATGAAGCCACGGGCCCTCTGCAGGAGCAGCGTCGCGGCATGCGCCCAGGGTGGTGCCCGCTCGGCACCACGGCACGCTCACAAAGACACTCACAGACACGGCACTGCTCGCAAGACACTCTCGTGTTGCACCGCAGCCTTGCTGGCTCAGTCGGGACGGAGTGGCGCGCCCTCCCTCGCGCGCAGTCACCGCACGCACCGCGCTGCATGCACGCCTCTCGTAATGAATCTCACGTGCGCGCATTTTGGGATATCTGCGGCCATCGCACTCCAATTTTGACTGTGCACACAGCCTCCCCGTGCCCGAGTGCTGGGGAGAAGCCCTTGCTGTGCATGGGGGTCCTATTGCCAATAGCCCCCTTTTGTGATGTTAATGCTCATGGGACAAAATGCCTTATTTTTTTGAAGCTGTAGATTTCAAATGTGTGCACTGTGCACGAGGCATTGTGTTTGCTATGCGTCACTCGACTCCGCGAAGACCCTGGCGATTGAGATTTTCCATCTCAAGGGAGCATCCAAGTGAAATGGATTAATAAATGACTAATATTAAAAAAAAATTCAATCTGAGATGAAACTACAACAGTCACTCCACACCGCTCCCTAGCTTTGTCTGCAAGGCTGAGACGTCCCGGGGACTCTGTGAACGCCTTCCCCTGATGTGGGGGTGCTTCCCCAGCGGGCGTGGGATTTCTGGCCCACGTCAGAACCTCAGCTGGCCATTGGCCAAACCAGCGGTCGATTTATGTTGACATTGTCTCCACGTTTATTCGTACAGCATACCCAGCCAGAGAAAGGCGCGGCAGCAGTGTGAAAACAATCATGCCCCTCTCGCTTTTGTTCTGCATTTGGAGAAATGGGAAGGGCAGTGCCTCGGACCAGATCGCCTTGGAATGGGCTTGGAGGCTAAGCGGAGTTCAGCCTGGTTACCACCCGCACGAAAAGCTGGCTGGAAATACTGGGCGTTGCAGGTGTGGTGTTGTGGGTGTGAGATTCAACATGGATCTATCTGTGCTGAGCTTTGAGTGGTATCACCGATATATGGGTTTGATTCTCCTACTGCAAAATATTCACGGAACGCAAGGCCCTTTTAAATTAGTCTTGAGACTCATTGAAGCTTTCTTAGCTAAATGGCAATGTTATAATAATTGTTGTGGCATGTCCACATGCAAAGATGTAAGCTGTAATGTTCCCTGTGTACTTTGGCAATGGCATCACGCAATGCAATTCACCTTAGTATTCCACCAGTAAAGTAGGAACCATTTCATGTTTTATAACCGGCCAAAAGAATGTGGAATTTCCACCGCTGGCTCAGGACTGTAATCAGGTGAGCACTGCCTCAATGCTCATTTTAGCACGAAATCACTTTTACTTTTGACTTTATGCATTGGTGACCTGCAAAATATTTCCACACCCTGCACACTACATCGAGTATATCTCTCGCTATGACTGTGTCTACCGTGTACGTGGCCACTACACCAGCCCACCAGCGACCCGGCCTATACTGCCCGCCTGGCACCACGCGCGTACCCCTCCCAGCGCGGCCTCACCTGCAGGAAGCAGGTGCCCGCGCGCGCGTTCACCGGCAGCGAGGTGTTGTACACGACCTGCGAGAACACGGGCGGCCCGGCGTCGAGGCCGTGGAGGCCGGCGGCATCCTCGATCGTGACGGTGACGGCCGCGGACGCGGACAGCGACGGCCGGCCGTCGTCCCTCGCCACGACCGTGAGGCGGGGCCTCGGATGGGCCGCGCGGTCGAGCGGCGCGGCGGTGCGCAACCAACCCGAGGAGGGGTCCACGCTGAACCACGCCGCCGGGTGGCCGCGCGCCGAGGCCTCCAGGGCGTAGCGCACGTCCGCGTTGACGCCGGAGTCGCGGTCCGCGGCGCTCACCTGCAGCACGGGCGTGCCTACCGGAGCGGAGTCTGGGACGGAAGCGAGGTACTCTGCCTGCTCGAACACGGGGGCGTTGTCGTTGACGTCTCGGATCTGCAGGGAGAAATTGGCCGTGGCCCGCAGTGGAGGTGACCCCGAGTCGGTGGCCACCACCGTGATGCTGTACGCGTCCTTCTCCTCCCGGTCCAACGATTGGTCCACGCAAATTAAGTAAACCACGGTGTCCTTGGTGGTCAACCCGAATTTTCCGTCGCCCCCGGCCATGGACACGTTCACTTGCGCGCGGTCTGCGGCGTCGGGGTCCGACGCCGAGATCCGAGCGACGAAATCTCCGGGCGACGCGCCCTCGGAGATCTCCGCCTCGCCGCTCTCGCTCAGGAAGATGATGCTAATGCTGGGCTGGTTGTCGTTGTAGTCCTCCACGTTGATCGTCACAAAGGCGACGTCGTATTCCGGCTGGGTGGCGTTGTCCCGCGCCTGGATGACCAATTCGTGCACGGTCTTCGTCTCGAAGTCCAGCGGCTGGCTCAGCGTAATCACCCCGGCGTGCGCGTCGATCACAAAGATCTCGTCCGGGTCGCTCTGCCTGCGGTTGATGGAGTAAATGACCACCCCGTTGGGACCGTCATCCTTGTCCGTCGCAAACACGCGCAGGATGGCGGTCCCCGGGGCCGTGTTCTCGGACACGGCGACGTCGTAGCGCGTCTGGTTGAACACGGGCGAGTTGTCGTTCACGTCGAGCACGGCCACGTGCACGCGCAGGGCCCCGCGTCGAGGTGGGATGCCTCCGTCGAACGCCTCGAGGAGCAGCTCGTAGCGAGCGACGCTCTCGCGGTCCAGCGGGCCGTCCACCACCAGCTCCACGTTGCCCGCGGCCGCCCGGCTCGCGTCCAGGCGGAACGCGCCTCCCGCGTTGCCGTCCCTGATCTCGTAGCCCTGGACGTCGAACTCGCCCACGTCGGCGTCCACCGCGGCGTCCAGCGGCAGCCGCGTGCCCCGGGGGGTCCGCTCCGACACGTTGAAGCCGACGTCGGCGCGCGGGAACCGCGGCGCGTGGTCGTTCACGTCCGCCACGTGAATGAGCACCGAGATGGTGACCCCGCTGAGCGTCACGGCCACGAAGGAGTAGCGGTCCCGAGCCTCGCGGTCCAGCGGACGCGCCGTCACGATGGCGCCCGTGAGCTGCGCGATGTGGAAGGCGTCGTTCACGCCCGAGTCGCCCGAGTCCGAGATGAAGAAGCCGTGGGCCACCGTGCCGCTCGGCAGCGCCGCGCTAAGGTCCCCGACCGGGGCCCCCGCGGGCTGCTCCTCTAGGATGCGGAGCTCCAGCTGGACCCCCGAGGCACCCGGAGGAGAGAGGGACGCGAGGAACGTCAACCAGCAGCACAGCGAGCCGACGGCAGCAGCGCCGCCTCGGCTCGCCATGTCCCCTCCTGCTGGTCGCCTTCGAGGAGGTGGACGAGCGGGCAGCGAGAGGAGCGAGGGCTGGTGGACGAGAGGACGGGCGAGACGAGCCGAAGGGGGCAGGGGGATGGGCGGCGGCGGTCCAGGGAGCCGTGAGAGCCTTCGGCGAATTCACGATTCTCCGACTCGCGCTGTCCACGGAGACGCGGCACCTCACCTCGCCCTCACCGCCCGCGACACCACCCGAGAGAGCCCCGGTCGCTGCTCGTCCCCGGCACGCGGAGGTAACGGGGCGCGGGGTGGCGGCCGAGGAGGGACGGTCGAGGCGATGACGAAGGAGGGGAGTCGGCATCGAGCATCACCGCCGCTGCCGCGACAACGCGAGAGGGAGGGAGGGAGGGCGGCGCGTGGGGTGGCAGGAGGCGGTGTGCGGCGTGGGGGGGGGTCACAGGGTTTAGGAGAAACCGGAGTTTAAGAGAAACGGGGCGGGGGGGGGGGGGCTTTAGATTTTTTTGTTTAAATTTCGACACAAAAGCCACGGAGCCCCGCGCACCGCCCGCTCCTCCTCCTCCTCTTGGCGCACAACGCGCGGGCCCAGACACCACCGATGCATCCCCTCGTCTCATCTGCCTGCGAACGCCGTCACCCCAGGGCATCGCACGCCTCCAGGCGCGGCACGCATCTTTAAACGATCTCGGGGATAAGACGAAGGAGGAGGCAGCAGGGAGGGGGGAGGAGGAGAAAGAGTCGGGCGTGAGAAGCGTTCAGCGGCGGCTGCACTGACAGTGTGACAGCGCCGCACCGAGTCGATGCATTGGTACTGGACATGGAGACCCTGACAGACCCCGAGACGGCAGAGGGTTCCCCCATCCCCCTCCACCTATCCCCTGAATCAAAAGGGGGGCCCCCACCCCGCAAGGGGGATTGTTAAACGAAATCACCGCCATAAACTCTCTCTCTCTCGAGTAAACATTCCGAGCTCCAATGCAGATGTGGAAATTGTCGACGAATTCGCACAGTTCCCAAGGATATCGCGAGCACGTAATCTCGAAAGCTAAGCAGGCATGGGCCTGGATAGTTGAATGGATGGGGTCGGCCAAGATGCGTATCAAAGCGTTGTACACGACGCAGCTGTGGCTTTGAGCGGGCAGCAGAGCGCAACGCAGCAAACCCAATTGTACCGCACTTTCTATGCTCCCATGTCTACGATCCCATTCCTCACCCCCCAAATATCCCCCATATAGCCTTAACAGACTGTAGGGGCAAGTGCTGTTAGCGAGCACCCTATGAAGGCCGGCACGGCACACGGAGGGGGTGGGTGGCCAGCACCACGCCCGACCGCCTTTGTCTCCCCAGTGGCGATGTTTACTACACACCGCAGCAGGTACTCATTTGAGGCTGAGTCGACCTAGGGGAGGCCCAAGACCGGTTCAGATAATCGTCACTGGTGTTGGCCGTGAGCGGGAATCGAACCCGGGTCGACCAGGTTCGTAGCGCAGCGCGCTAACCGCTCCACCACCGCTCATCCGTCCATTGCAAGGTGTACGACTCGCAACTTGGTCAACATCCTTCCAGGGTCATGCGCCGCCACAATCCATCTCGTCCATAAAGGTGATCTCATCACTCCACCCCCGAGGTGGATGTCCTGTCGGGCATCCCCCCCCCCCCCAACTCAGTCAAGCCTACCCTAAATCTACTGCGTTCTTCTTCTTTGGTTCTTTCGGTAAAGTCACGTAGAATGAGAATAAAATAATAAATTGATAAAATAAAATAACACAATAATATTCTCACGACGTTTCGGCCACAACACAAGCGGCCTTCATCAGCGCTGTCCTACCAGACAGTCTCGTCCCTTCACCTGATGAAGGCCGCTTGTGTTGTGGCCGAAACGTCGTGAGAATATTATTGTTATTTAATTTTATCAATTTATTATGTTATTCTCATTCTACGTGACTTTACCGAAAGAACCAAAGAAGATGAATCATTGCAGTCACGAAAGTTTTAAATTGAAATTCTACTGCGTTCCTTCCTGCGTCTGTCTCGAGACGTATTTTCAGAATGTTTATTTATACTGGAGGAATCCGATGGGCTATGAAGCTAGTTTTCACAGATGTCCAGTAGGGGCACGGGCTAAGAACGTCACAACAACAAACAGTATAAAGACACGATCGGAGTGCAAAGTACAATATGGGTCAGCAAATCGCCCAGACTCACACAAATAAAACGAAATCATCCCCAGCTTACCGGACAAAAGCCCACAACAAAATGTGTGTACACGCGTCATTACGTGTGTGTGTGTTACTATACACGTGTCACTTGACATCCTTGCAAGCGAGATGCTCTGTCTAAACTGAAAACTAAATTATTGGGTTTTTTTATTTTACCAGATGAGGCGCCACTGAGCTATGTAGATATATTTCAGAAGCGACCTAGCTATCACAAATGATAGCTCAAGGAAGTGGCTTATCGCGTGGAAATGTATAGCAGCCAAATACTCGAAACGCGTGTTTGTAAATGTGGAGGGAAAAACCGGAGGAATCAGAGAAAAATCCACGCGACCACGGGGAGAACACGCAAACTCCAAATATACAGCAGGGGTCAGGGTCGGGACCGAATCCACGACCTCCTGCATACCAGGCGAGGTAGTTAACATCTCACCATCGTCTCAAGGGATTATCCAGGTGAAATATTTGAGTAAATGGATCTGTTCGGGTGCAAGGAGATTATGGACCTGGCAGGTTATGTAGGGAGGAAAATAAGAGAATGTTTTATGGTTGTTAGATGAAATGACGGTGAGAGCGATGGACGTGGTGGTGGTGGTGGTAACGAGGTTCCGAACGTGACCATGGGAGTGAGAATGAAATGACGTGAGCTGGGAGTGAATGCACGGATTTCAAGCGTTGCTTCACGATGGTCGAGATGGTCTAATGCAGGGGTCCCCAACCCCCGGGCCGGTACCGGTCCGTGTCCGGTTAGGAACCGTGCCGCACAGCAGCAGGAGGTGAGAGCGGTGAGTCCGCGCGTGGAACCCGCCCACATTATTTTATTATTGACCACTTCCGCCCGCGCCTCTTTCCCGCACTGCGCGCTTGTCTCAGTCACGTGGTGTTGGCAAGCCCACAAGCTAAGGGGCCGTCCATAAATGACGTCACACACCTTGGGGGGGGGGTCAACAATGTGGCAATGTGTGACGATGGGGGGGGGGGGGGGTTGAGAAACGTGACGTCACATCAAAATGCGCAAATTTATAAATAAATAGAGACAACACGTTCTACTTAAATAGACTTTTTAATAAATGTTTTCTCCTACAACATCAGAGTGCAGCACCACGTTAAATACGCACTACAATGACAATAGTTTCAAGCGATTTAAAGCATGTTTTATATTTATTTGGGGGGGGGGGGGCAGAGCTTTGTGACGTCATATTTGTGGGGGGGGGGGTCTGACTTTTTGTGACGCCGTGTGACGAAGGGGGGGGGGGGGTAAAAATTCGTCCAAAATCGCGTGACGTCATTTATGGACGGCCCCTAACCCAAGCCAAAATGAGTGAAAAAAAACCAAACGTCACTGGAGAGCTTCTTCGACAAGGGGGGAAAGACCCAGTGATGAACCCCCACCCCCATCACACCCCCATCACACCCCCGGTCCGTGAAAAAAAACACTTGTCTTCCACGAAACCGGTCCCTGGTGCCAAAAAGGCTGGGGACCGCTGCTGCAGTGTAAAGGGATTTTGAAATGAGCAGACATGGTGAGTGGAGAGAAGTGACCGCGGACTGCAAAGTGAGATAATCCCAAGAGTCGGACGTGAATCTTCGTGAGCCACTTGCGTGTCGTCGTCCCCCCACCCCCCGCAACTCCGATTGGCACGGGCTGGCCACGTACAGGTGCGAAAGAAGTCCCCCCCCCCCACCTGTTTACCCCCCCCACCTGTTTACCCCCCCACCTGTTTACCCCCCACCTGTTTACCCCCCACCTGTTTACCCCCCTCCCACCTGTTTACCCCCCACCTGTTTACCCCCCTCCCACCTGTTTACCCCCCTCCCACCTGTTTACCCCCCACCTGTTTACCCCCCACTTGTTTACCCCCTCCCACCTGTTTACCCCCCACCTGTTTACCCCCCACCTGTTTACCCCCCTCCCACCTGTTTACCCCCCACCTGTTTACCCCGCACCTGTTTACCCCCCACCTGTTTACCCCCCACCTGTTTACCCCCCCCCCCCCCCCCACCTGTTTACCCCCCACCTGTTTACCCCCCACTTGTTCTGCACGAACAGACACCGGCATCTGAGCAGCGGTTTCGCATTTAGCACGCTCAGAGCACCACCTAGCGGACAACGTAGGGATCTCGATTTAAAGCTTTCGTGACTGCAGGCAGGGATTCATAATCTTGGTTCTTTCGGTAAAGTCACCACGTAGAAGGGAAACAATATTATTTAATTGTTTCCCTTCTACGTGACTTTACCGAAAGAACGAAGAATATTAAAAACGTAGGGATCGCCACCCCTCTGTGCTCTCTTAACACGTGTTTTCGGGTTACATCGTGTAAGTATAAATGTGTCATTGACCCGCCACCACCCGACACAGACAACCAGTAAGGTTTGTCACGTAAACAAAGCGTGCCAATTAGTTACCACTTCAGCACACCGATGTGTTGGAGAGTAAATCCACAACGTTTACAATTTGAGTAACACGACGTTTCGCTGGTAATTACATTCAGCACCTTCGGGCGATTTTGCCACATTTATACTTACGCGATCTAACATAAAACACCTTTATTATGAATAATATTGGTCGCAAAAGCCGAACGTGCCCCTCTGTGCTCTCAAGGCGGTCCACGTGTCGGTGCCCCCCACCCCATCCCGAGCCATTGAAATCGGCCCATAAAACCATCCACACGTGTGGACTTGCTGGGAATTGAGAAGGCTTCGTGCTCGGTTATGCCCAGCGGTCTGAAGTCACAGTTTTACGAGCGTATGTTTGGACAATCTCACACACACAGACACCACCACCACTACCACCTCACGCCGCCGTGGGCTTGCTGAAAACGACACGAGGACTGTCTGTGTGTCTTCCAGCTCAAATAATACATTCACGGCACGTGGGTAGCGAGCTCGCACACATGGGGCAAGGCCGGGCTTGCAGGCTACCAAGGCTTCATCTACACCGGTCAAATAGAGACATTGTTTTATGGATTCGAGCCGAATGATCAGACGTGCACATCCCACCCCTCCCCATGCTACAAACACACGCGTAGACGACGCGCCTTGCGCCTGTGTGTACGCGGTACAACGCGGGTGACCCTGTGTGTACGTAGTAACACGGGTCACCTTGTGTGTACGTAGTAACACGGGTCACCCTGTGTGTACGCGGTACCACACGGGTGACCCTGTGTGTACTCGGTACAACACGGGTGACCCTGTGTGTACGCGGTACAACACGGGTCACCCTGTGTGTACGTAGTACAACACGGGTGACCCTGTGTGTACGCGGTACAACACGGGTCACCCTGTGTGTACGTAGTACAACACGGGTGACCCTGTGTGTACGCGGTACAACACGGGTCACCCTGTGTGTACGTAGTACAACCCTGTGTGTACGTAGTACAACACGGGTGACCCTGTGTGTACGCGGTACAACACGGGTCACCCTGTGTGTACGTAGTACAACACGGGTGACCCTGTGTGTACGCGGTACAACACGGGTCACCCTGTGTGTACGCGGTACAACACGGGTGACCCTGTGTGTACGTGGTACCACACGGGTGACCCTGTGTGTACGTGGTACCACACGGGTGAC